AGCTACTAATTGATTTACTGTTCGTGCATAATACAATATAATATTAAAAAATATTAATGATTTTTAATATTAATACGAGTCTTATAAAAATAAAAAAAAAACTTGATAATCATTAATTTTTTTAACTCTAATTTTTCTAATATAATAGATATTAATAATTAATAATTAATTGGATATGTATAACTACATCTAACGTCATTCTTAATGCTTGTTTCGCCACATAACATTTCTTATTATTTCCCATTCATAAACGCAGCCGTTATTGTAAATGGGCTCTTAACTTAATACCGAATATTGCAATTTCGTATCGAATAATGCCAATTGGAATTAGCGAAGAATTGCCTCCGGTGTCTAATTTCTTTCAGATTTGGTGGCGGGTTCTTCCGGTTTTCCTAATTCAGGATATCGTCGGGGTGCGCAGTGGTTAAAAACACACTAACTCACCTACACATATTTCGCTCGTTCCTCATTTATGTAGCAGTAAATAGCCATTAAACGCGCGCGTAACGTGCCTGTTTGCTCGTCAACATCTAGTCAGAGGGACAGAGGAAGAAAAAAGAGAAAGAAGAAATGAATCGGCGAAAAAGGAAACCATGACGCTCCGATCGAGATAAAGGCCGACACATACGAGAAACCGAAGCCAAGTCAAAGCGTGTAAATATAGAAACAAGATAACTGGGCTGATTCAGAGGGATCTCTCGGCGGTCATCCTCCTCGCGAGACGTGGCGAGACGTCGTACCAAAGAAAAATCGATCCCACACCAAAAGTTCCTTTACGTTCCAACGAAATCGACGTGCGTTCGTTGTAACGGAGTGCAGAAGCGAGCGATCAAAGATTGAATTTCAAGGAGAGAAATAAAAGGATCCACGGTCGCGAAACTTCCGTCAACCTGATGAATTAGATAAGGAATTAGATAATAAGAATCGAAATATTTAATCCAAGTGTCATTCAAGTGCCATCTGAGAGATATTAGAGATTACGTTCAAGTCAAACAGATTAAACGAAAACAGGTCCCATGGGTTTTTCGAGAAACGACCGGTAGAAATATCACGGGATCCAAGGATACCTGCTTCTGGCGAAGGGAATATCGGCGACACGACAGTTCGAAAATTGTGACGAGCTGGTCGAGTTCTCTGGTAACATCGATGCAGTGTTGGACGAGTCAGCGTTTCCAATTCACCGGCCACAGAGAGCGACGTACACGAGAGCACTCCCTTTCGTTGAAAAACCCTTCTGAGATTCATCGTAATCTCCAGACAGATCGATGGTGTAGAGAGAGAAAACGCTTCTGTTTTCTACAGATTCTTCAATCGGCGCTTCGTTAAAAGATAGAAAATGCTGGCATGGTCAGAGAAACAAAGTCTCGAAAGAGTTTTACTGAGAGTAATTTTCTTTTGCACTTACTAAAGCATACAATTTTATATGACGAGGTAATTTAAACGAAGTAAAAGTAAGGTTCTACTATTGGAAAAATTATTATTAATGATTGATTGATAAGGCATAATTGATTGTCGAAGCTATCGAAAGATTTAATTCAAGTATCATCCAAGTGCAATCCGAAGTGCATTAAAGATTACGTTCAAGTGTGAACAAATTAAATAAAAACACAGGCAAAAGGTGTCTGAAAAACTTTTTAAAAAATTATTGATAGAAATTCTACGGAATGTGAATCCGAGAATATTCTAAATTATACATAGAAGAATATGTAAAAAAAGGACATACAACGCTGTAGTGATTCGACTGCTGTTTACATTTTAAAATTAATGAATACCAAAGATGAGCTTAGTCATAAAGTATGTTCCAAATGCGCGGTCTTATACAAAATCCTTGAAATAAATTAGCATTGAAATAAATAGGCAATGGTAAAAGCTACGTCCAAGCGGATGGTAGGGCGAGAAAGGTGAGAGGTCACAGACGGAAGGAAGGAAGGAAGGAAGGAAGCAAGGGAATAAAAAAGGGTTGGTGATAATCGCGTGGAAGCAGGCCGAAGACTCGTCTGGAAGAACGCGGAAGGAGCGACAACATTGTGGAAACAAGGGGGGTTCAGCGAGCAGGGGGGAGGAAGAGAGGAAGAGGAGCCCCGGTTATCGTCGGGAGGGGTGTACATCGGGGCTGATATCGACCGAGGATTGCGCTTGCGTGGAAAAAGGCGCGAGCGCAATCGCGCGGTTATTCCGAGAGAGCAACGGCGCCCTCCGCGTCGGAAGAGGAAGAGCTCTCCCGGTCCCCGTTTGTCAGTCGATCGTCGCGTCGACGAGGAACGGGCCACCGCCATCGTTCGGGAAAGACTTCCGGTTTTTCCCCTGGCAGAGCCGGCGGAGGAGGCCGGGTGCACGAACACGGTGATTCCAACGCCCGCACTGGACCGCACTTCCGGAAGCGAGTTGCCCAGACGCGGCCCTCGCGGAGAGCTCGATTCCGCTCGGCACCGCGTCGCGAAGATCGTCATCGCCGTGGGGGACGGAGAAAAACCAGCGCGGGCGGTCCGGGGACGGAAGGGGAGGGGGGCACAGGCGAGGTATATCGAGACGATAAGAGTGCGATAAGCAGACCGCGCTTTATAAACGGCTGTGCGTGTGCGCACCTCTCCTCCTCTCCTCTCTTGCTCTCTTACTCTCTCGGAGCGACCTCGTCGTCGTCATGCCGATAAAAGACGAATCTGAAGTTTTCCTTGAGAAAGACGGGGCCGCTACCAGTTCGAAACTGGCGATGCCCCGTGCCGGTCATTAGGACAGTGCGACGTATAGCGACCTAATATCCGGATCCGGTGGATTTCCTCAAACCCTTCGCACCCGTCGTTGATAACGATCGGGGTCACGGTCGTGTCCCCGCCGCATCGTCGTGTTCGATCGCGAAATGTGAAGAAGCGACATCGATGCCTGGCGATTTCGTTCGCCTTGATTTGGAGATGTGACTCGTCGTGTGGATAATAAACTTACGTATCCGGACAGTTGTACTCCATAGAAAATCCAGACTTATACTTATTGCACAATGTTGAACGTCTTATTCATCGGCGATATAGTTATTTGAGATAGCGACGTATATGCTCACAAGTTTGATTAGAGGAGGAAGCGATGATCGATGCGAGTTATCTAAAGGCGGGTGATCGACACGTCATACGGTATGCCGAGATAATCGGAGTCGAGCGTCGAAGTCTCTTGAGGCGTTATCAGAATCCGCGCCGCCTGGATGAAAGCACAGCGCGATGATTAGCATGCAACAGCAGACGGTTTTGAATAATGTAACCGGGCCCGAGCAGCCGCAGGAGGAAATTCAGCTGACCGAATTGTTGCCGGTGAAGCAATCGCGCATCAGAGAAAATGTCTTCAAGGACGCCGACGCAACCGATGCTCTGAGGGCGCTTAGGAGTCTCTCAGGCGACTGCGGTGACAGCGAAAATTTCAATCTGCGGGAATTTGACTTTTGCAAGAACGTCGAACAGTCTACACGCCAGAACAACAAGAATCGACGAGCGGAAACCCGTCGGAAAAGAAGAGAAGAGTCCAAGAACAGTGCTAAAGATGTGGACTTTGACGAAGAGAAAAATGACGAGGTGGTAGAGAAGAAGGCGCGTAACGGTAGGAAGATTGTTCGCGGTAAGGCGCCCAAGAGGAAACTAACAAAGTTGAGCAAGAGGAAGGACGACGATAAGGGAAGTGATTATGAAACGGAAAGGAAATTGATTAGAAAGGATATCATCGAATGCGACGAGGACGACGGCAACGAACAATTGTACTTGGATCTGGAAAAAAGAGATTGCTTTAAAGACGAGGTTTACGTATATAGACGAGAACCGTTGGATCCATGTTCAAGCTCGGAACCAGAGGAATCAGGAGCGATCACTCGCAAGGTCCAGCAGGATCTTTGCGAGAAGGATTATTTTGCGGGTAGAGAATTGTCCGATGGAAAAGAAAATTTTGCCGAAAAGAAAACTTACCGACAAAGACGACGGGAAGGAAGAATGCAAATTCAGTGCGGAGGGCGAGAAAGAAAATTCGTCAGAAAAAGAGCTCAGACTGAAAATCGACGCCATCATTCAAGCAAATTACCTGTTGGAGCGCGAGAATAACAACGTCGTCGCTTCCGACGGACTCAAAATCGCGGAGCACATCGGCACCTCTTCCACTACCGGCTCGGTGAATGCAGACAGTAGCGACGGGTCTTCGTGCAATTTGATCGAGAAGAGGACGAAGAGGAAACGGACCGATCAGACTAGACAGTCGAACGACCAGCAGAATCCTCAGAAGAAGTACTGCTGCGTCGTGTGCGACGCGCGTTTCAAGGGTAGCGGCGGTCTGCGGAATCATTATAAGGTGGTGCACGGCGCCGGGCCGGTGTTCAAGTGCGACGAGTGTGGCAAGGAGTTTCCCCTGAAAGAACGCCTGAAGCTGCATGTGCGCACGCACACCGGCTTCAAGCCGTACAAATGTCCGGAGTGCGATAAGAGCTTCGCCCGAGGGGGTCAACTGGTGCAACATCGTCGTACGCACAGCCAAGTCAGGCCGTTCCACTGCAAGCTGTGCTCCAACACCTTCACGTGCGCTGCCAATCTGTCCCTACACCTGAAACGCCACAACGGCCAGAAGGACCACAAGTGCGACCTGTGCGGGCGCGCCTTCGTGCGCCGCGACGCCCTGAAGAAGCATCTGGAATGCCTGCACCGCGACGTCAAGTCGTTCCTCTGCGCGATCTGCAACAAGACCTTCAAGGGCCACCTGCCGCAACACATGAGGACGCACGCGCGCGATCGTCCCCACGGGTGCGCCACGTGCGGCCAGCGTTTCGCTCAGAAGTCCCAGCTCACCGTGCACCAAAGGACCCACTCCGGCCAGCGGCCATTTCGCTGTCTGGTCTGCTGGCAGGCCTTCGCCCATTCGACCGCCCTGAAGCTGCACACCCGACGTCACACCGGGGAACGGCCGTTCAAGTGTTCCGAGTGCAATGCCGGCTTCACTCAACTGCCACATTGGAAGAAGCACATGAAATGCATACATGGTAGGAATGATCCGTATGGTTGCAAACGTTGTAAAAGTTTTTTCAGGATCAAGAGCGATTTGGAGAGCCACGAGAAGACTTGCCATCCAGAAATGGAGACGGAGGACGATGATGGCAGTGTCGCCGGTAGACCGACCGGTAGCTCCGAAGTCATCGAGAAGAGCTCCGTCAATGCCAAATACAAGTTGATGACGGTGGAGAAAATGCGGCTGTTACTGGCGGTGCTGCTGAAGAGGATCAGTAAGCAGGAACGGTTAGACGAGCTCGGTTTCGGTAAGCGTCTCATCGACGACGTTCTTCAGGACTCATTGGTATCGGCTGGTAAAGAACCGGTCACGGGGAGTGGCTTATCCGAACTCGAGGCTCTCACCCGAAATCTGGAAGCCTTCCTCGAATGGACAGTGCCGAAGGAGCATTGGGAGAATTTCCGTAAAATGAAAAAATCACCTGAGGAAATTCTGGAAACGCTCACAGCTACATAGGAGCGTTCGTCTGTTAAAAATAATTTTATTATCTTTCACCGTAAAGATTGGAAGGAAATCAAATCAATAGTATAATTATCTTGCACATGTTTGTACAAATGACAAGTTTTCCTACATTCAGTCTCAGTTATATCGAAATTTATTTATTCCTTTTTTTTCCCTTTATTCTTTAATAATTCGATTTTTCATCGAATCGTTATACGCTTTTAACCTATAATTTTTATGATTTTTTTCCTCTTATTCTCGTTTCTAACTCATGATTTATAGCGTAAATCTTTTAGAGAGTACCGAGAACGCGATCAATTGACACATGATCTCTTCATTCATTATTCTTGATAATGATAAAGTTTATAATCATTATTAAAATAATTAATAATTGATAATGATTTTCACGAGAATTCTAGAAAAAACTATTGATTCATTTATAATTGCATCAATCGATTAAGAATGAAACAATCAATTTTCCGTGTGATATCTAAGCTATGATCTAATCTATGATAACTAACGAAAGTTAACTTTCTGTGGTGCCATGTGACATAATACTTGCCAGTACTAAACCAGTGAACATACCGTGTAATTTAGAAGAGCCGAGAATCTTTTATTTTATTAGTATAAGATGTAAGTCGCGTTGGAACAATGTGTGCACTTGTCGAATAAAATTGATGGAAATCCGGCACGTTTCTCAAACGGTAGAAGCAGATTGTCGCGTTTCTTCGATGACTGAAGGTAAAGTTAGACGGTTTCTTGCCATATTTGTAAAGACACGCGTGCACACTGACACAAAAAATTACGAGATTAAAGATCGTTTTAGCACTTACATTTTACTCTAATCGTAAGCACGATTTGCTCGTATAACCAAAAAAAAAAAAAGTTAGAAATGAGGCTAGCACGAGTCATTTGTCAATTAACGTTCTTTCACGCGTCATCGTTATATATTATCCTATATATTTATTAAAGAATATACATCTATATACATATCTATTATATATACACACACACACACACACACACACACACACACACACACACATATACATACATATACA